TATTTAGAAGATTCTGAGGTATGAAAATAATGACGATATAACTAGATAAAATTTTCTAATATGTTTAATTGATTACGTATTAAGCATGATAAGGAATAAAAATAGACGAGGGGCCTAAAAGGTTCAAGGATCATGATGTAGCTTAGTGGTCCAGTTTGGCGAGTTGTTGTTAGGTTTTGACAGAAGGTCATCGGTTCGAAACCACAGATGTTCTTTTTTACGATTTAAGACTTGGAGGGGTAGGTCGGTCATTTTACGTGGAGGCTATAGGTATAAAAGCAAAATTGGCAAACGAAACCCTACTTATCTTCAATCTGAAACCCAAGCGGCGCTCATCCTCTCTATTCTTTCGTTTCTTTCTTTCCCCTTCTACTGGAAAACGATCGACAACCAAAAAGAAAAAAAGGAAAACGAAACCCTCGAAATCCAACCTCCTTTATCTTTCGTTTTCTCTGGAAATCGAGCAAGAAGGAAGAAAAGAGCAACGATTCACTCCGATTTCTCTCTCTCTCTCTCTCGCCGTTCTAAATCGGGCCGATGATGACGACGACGAAGATGAAGCAGGGTTCAGCGGTCAGTTTTGGTTGCATGTAAAGTTTTTTGTGCAATTGTGAATTAGGGATTTTTAGGGTTTTTTGTGCAATTGTGCCTTGAGGTCTTCTGCTTCTATTTTACAGAAAGTAAAGAAGGAAAAAATATTTGAATTTCTCTTTCTATTTTCCCAGTGTTTCGTTTCTCTGACCAGACCAAGAACAGAAAGAAACTCTGAATTGACTACTAAAAAGAAGAAGCTAATACTGACAAAGAAAGAAGTGTTTTCTCCCCCCGTTTCCCCCTTCTGAAAACACTCTCTGTTTCTTGAAAATTGAGCCTGCTTTTATAGAAAAAAGAGGCGGTGGTTTCTGGGTTTGGTCGGACCAATTCTGTTTCAACCGGTTCGTCGGGTTGGGCCTTTCCTGGGCTGGTCAGGATCTGACCCATGAGATCTTGGGCTTCCTTGGGCCTGACTGTGGGCTATGATCTTCTGGACTTGTCTTGGTTCTGGGTCTGAATTGACTGTCTCCTTTCTTGTTGTTTGGCAGGTCCATTGCTGGCTTCAAAAAGAGATGGAAAAAATATGTATTGATTGTAATTTTCATGTAGTAGTTCTTATTTGTAATTTGTATTCTTATTGTAATTGTATAATTTATTGATAGTTTAAATAAAACTTTATTCTTCTTCTGTATTTTCTGTGTTGGGCCAAAAGCGTAAATTGGAAGCCAATCGGTCCTATTAATCCACTCTAATCGAATTTGAATAATTTATACAATCGTCGATATTTTAGACTCGCACTAGCCAATCTAGTGGCCAATCTAATTATCTTATGACATTTAAAGATTAATTAGAATTTTTAGTTGAGTAATTGACTCGGACAAAATGGGGTGTCTACAGTTGCCCCCCTTGTATATCTCTTTATGTAAAGAGTTATACAAAGTTCCCGTATAGACACCACATTTTCTCAGTTCAGTGGAGGATTATATTTTGCTGGTGAGGTATTTTTCGACATTTGTCATCGCCAATTGTTACATTTTTCTCGATGATGACGTAAATTAAGCGCACGTCAACGCTAATTGTTTTTTTATTGATGACGTAAACGAAGCGCACGCGAGCGCTAACTGTTGAACTCTTTTGAAAATGACGTAAACGAAGCGCACGTCCGCGCTAATTGTTGGGGTTTCCTGATGATGACGTAAACGAAGCGCACGTCAGCGCTAATTGTTGAGTTTTCCTGATGATGACGCAAACGAAGCGCACGTCAGCGCTAATTGTTGAATTTTTTATAATTCATTGTTTTATGCTTATTAGCATTAGTGTCGTATTTTTTTTGACACTCGCTAGCACCAATTTAATGTGTTTATAGTTTTGTTGAGGGCATGTCTAATTAAGACAAGTTCTAATTGTAAGTGAAGAGCTAATGTCATACTTTTATGAATTCGGAAATATAATTGTTTTCCTTGAAATCTCGACGAATATCAAAATGTGTTTGGAAATGTATGTTAATGAGCATGATTGTGATATGATGATGTTGTCTAATGATTTTAAAAATGATCGTGTGATGAGTCATGCTAATGAATGATAAAATCACGAATATTGTAAAAAAAAATGATGTAATGCATTATCAATTGGTTTGAGAATTTTTTCTTTTTGCTTTTTTTCTCCTTGGGTTCCTTAAAATTGAGCTCCCACAAGAACTTGTGTCATTGTCTTTTGTAACCTTGATCACCAATTGCGCTCAATAGTGCGAGCTCTTAATTAGGCCACCTTTGGGCCTCTCATTGTCCAAAGAAGGACTCTTTGATTTCACTGATGTAGTGTAGCATGCCCCTTTTGTCACGGAGCGGTAACTGATTGGTTGAACGCAGTTGAAGGTGCTCTCAAGATCTTTGAGATTTCTAAACTGTTGAGTTGAAAGGTTGGGTACTTTGGCTTGCGAGCATTTCATAATGCTTCTCCTTTGAGGTAACACTATTCTTGCCCCCAAAGATCTGTCGTTCACTTTCTATTCGATGGAACAAAGAGTGACTTTATCAAACTTAACTTAAGATGAGTGCAAAAATGTATGACAAACGTGGATAGAAAAGTATCATGGGAACTTGGTGTTAAAATTTTCGATTGAGGGAAATGTGCAAGAATTGGATACAAATTCGTTGTGTGGTTATTGTCATGTTGCTAAAATTTGTTTTTTCATTTTTTAGTGGGAAGGGAGCAAGTCAAGCCATAAGAATATCCATAAGCACTAACTCTACTCTCACTTTTGATGTCACGCTTGATTTCACTGTCACTCATTCCTAGGGGTGCTTTGATCATATGACATTTCAGCTACCATTAAGATTCAGGTCACTATGAGAGGCCTTCCTTTATGTTGATGGTCAAATATGTTCGGGGTAATGGTTTTTCAAATGAGGAGATTTTTACGAAGTCTGATTGTGGTCCTCTGAAGTTTCTTGTAAAGGGATCTTGGCTTGCCCCCGAAGTATTAGGTTAAATGATGGATCAGAGTGATCCTAATGGAAATTATCATGGTTTTCCTTGAGCAATTCTTGCTTTCTCAAAAAAAAAAAAAAATAGTGGTGGCTTTTGTACATTTTGGGGAATGCGTCTTATGTTGCCCCCTTGTCTTGAGATTTTATGAGGTGGGGTCATTGGTGATTGAGTAGGAAAATTCGGACGTTGAGTAATCAATGCGGTATTTGAAACATAGGGATTAGCTTGATTGTCTTGAGGTTGGTGATTCCACCTTCCTCTTCTGGATGAGTCTTCTTGAGCAGAATGAATCTCTCCATCTCCCCTTCGAGTTTGGTATGGTTTCTTTGAGGCTTCTGGACTTTCCATCCGGCCTTGCTTCAAACCCTTTTCAATTCGCTCTCCAATCACTAGCAAGTCCGCGAAGTTGGTTGTGGTAATTCCATGTTGTTGTAATACGGAACCCTCAATGTTCCGAAGAAGATTGACACCATTTCCTTTTCTGACAGTGGGGGTTGAACATCTGCCGCCTTCTCCCTCCATCTATGAGCATACTCTCTGAATGATTCTTTCTCGTTCTTTTCCATATTACGTAGATCCTCCCGATCTGGGGCCAAATCCTGGTTATGCTTGTAATGCCTCATGAATGCATCGGCTAGGTCTTGCCACCTTTTCACTTTCGTTTTCTCTAATTGCATTACCATCTCAGCGCGGAGCTGCTCAAGCTATTTTGGAAGCAATGTATCATCAACCTTTCATCACGAATATAGTTAGCCATTTTATTACAAAACATGACTAGATGGCTTCTTGGGCAAGTAGTGCCATTGTATCTTTCAAATTCAGGCATTTGAAATTTATGAGGAATTATGACATCTGGGACTAAACATAGTTGCGATGCATCCATAGGCTCATAGGATTCAAATCCTTCTATGCTTCTTATTCGTTCATTCATGTGTTCCAATTTTTCTTTTAGCATAGCATCAACCCCATGTTCCTCCTGCTTCTCAGTCTCTTCTAATTTGTCATGCTTTGGTTGTCCCATGACATCTTCGTCACATGTGTTCTTCGAAGGTATGAGAATAAATTTACTACCTGAGGCATCTCCTTTAGGTGGTTCATAGTGATCTTCTTCGTCGAATATCGCTTCTTCTTCGTTAGTTGCAACCCCCTTTCCTTTTCCTGATAGTATGCTCAAAATTGTGCTGAGTTGACCTTTCATCTCATCAAAACCCGCCAGTTTTTCATCAAATCCCGTCAGTTTCTCATCAAACCCCGTTAGCTTCCCATTTATGTCATTTATCTCTTTCTGAAATGCCTCCATGAAGACCTTGAGTTTTGATCTAGTGAAGTGCTTAAAAGGCTGACTTTTTCCTGGTAGGCGAGCAATTTTAAGGAACCCTGACAAATTTATTATTTGTTAAACGGTTTCGTATATATGATGCTTATGATGCTAAATGATGTGAATGTGTAAATGCAAAAATGACTTAAATGGATGCATGTGCTTCATCTTTTATGATTTTGAATAGGATGAATGCTAATGTCATGAATTTTGAAAAGCTTTTATGTGCATAATAAAATCACATTATTTATGAGTAATCAATAATGCACAAATTATCACATCACAAGCAAACATATATAAAAAAAATTTCTCTAATTAAATAAACATAAAAAGTTATGGAAGATTTGACGACATGGTTTAGACGAGATGGTGTTGGGCGGCTGCTAAGCTTACTAAATGGTTGGTAAAGGTATCTAGGAAAATACCCAAGTTGTATCCTACTATTGCTCTTTCAAGCTTAGCCGGATACCTCAAATCAACCTCGGATTTGAGTTCAACTTGGTTAGTAAGTTTCACGATATTCCCCTACTATTGTAGGAGTCACGTTACACCTTGAAATTTCTAAAGGGAGAGCTCGGGTATAGAGCTTTTTAAGTACGAAATGAAATTAAATACAAAGTAAATAAAAAGCGCAATAAACACCCAAAAAGAATGTAAG